CCCAAAACTTCCTCCTGGCGCTGCTTCCTGCGCCTCGGCCACACGTCCTGGAGCCTGGCTGGCCGGCCGCACCTAAGGGAGGGACGCAGGGGAAGGTCATCCCGCGGCCCGGCCTTCCCGGAACCAGCTTCCGACCCGCCCGCCAGAACCCGCGGGTTCCAGGAAGCCTCCCCCACCACCCCCACCCGGTCCCCTGTCGTCTGGAGAGGAGGGTGCAGCCCCACGAATGCGAGCTGGGGCCACCCTGGGGTGTGTTTGGGACAACACTTTTGGGTGGGCGCTTCTGGGACCCAGTTTCCTGGGACAGGGAGCCCGTGAGAGGCACTGGGATCAGGTGGGGACACCCCAACCACACCTGCACTCCTTCCCCCGCTCTTCTTTGTTGCAAAAGTACAGGTGACCTGGACTTCTCCCTGCCAACCCCCATCCCCACCACCACCACCACACACATTAATGTAAGCCCCCGCCTGGGCTCAGGCTCACTGATGCCTGGTACATAGTAGATGCTCAATAAATATGAATGAATGAACAAATGGCTGAATGACACAGGGAAATTCTCCTGGGTGGATTGCAGTCAGCTTGCCTGTGTGAGACCTGTGGTCAGTTCAGGGTGGCAGGCAGAAAACCCAGGCCACAAGTGCCCAAATGAGACAGGTGCACCCTTACTCCAGGACCCTAAGGTGTTAGGGTGAGGGGTTTGGCCTTTTGGGATTCAGGGGGTTCAGGGCCAGGTCATGGAGGAGTTGGGGTTCTGGAGTGCCTCCTTCCCTCCAATAGGAGCTGGGCAGGCTGGGCCAACAGGTTGGGTGGCATAGCAAGCTGACACTCACCTCCAGCATAAAACCCCACTTCATGGAGGCCAGTACCTCACACTAGTGCTCTCGGAGATCCCGCCACTCCTGTCCCCCACCCGGCGCCCCAGCCAGGCCTGAGATCATGAGGCAGCCGCCAGCTGTGGCCCTGCTCCTGCTGCTGCTGCTGCTTCGGTTTGGTGAGTCCTGGGTGTTGCAGGAAGTCTTTCCTCCCCTCCCAGAGGGGTCTCCTCTGCCCTGCCTGGAGCTCTGGCTAAGCCCCACTCCCTGGCCAGGCCTGGGGCTGCAGCACATGGCCCCGTTACTGCTCTAATGGTGGGGCCTCCCAGGCAGGTGGGAAAGTCCAGATGTCCCACCTGGGGCAGTGAAGAGGGGAAGGTCGGATGGGGGTGTAGGCACAGGCCCAAGAGGCAGCGACATGGGCAGGGCCTTTGCTCCCCTCCCCCCACTTGTGTCCCGCACTCACTGGCCAAGCTCTGGGCTTGTTGCCTCTGCTGCTTCTCATCTGGCCTCTCCCTATCCTGCATATGAAGACACAGGCTGCATGAATACAGGACCTGAACTCAGGGCCCCTGTGTTCCAAATCCCTGAATGGCCATCAGCTGGGCCATCAGCTGGGCCCCCAAAGGGCGGAGCTGCCGCCTGAGCCTGGGAGCCCCAGGAAGCTGGTGGGGATTCAGTGGGGAGCCAGGGAAGAGTGAGGGCCAGCGATGCAGGCTCCTACTCCCCCTTGAGAGGAAGGGTATGGGCTAGGGTCAGCAGGTGCCAGCCAGGGAACCCCACCTGCCAGGCCCTTCCTGGTGGTGACTTACCAGGCTCACAGAGAGAGTGAAAGTGACAGTCGTCTGAAGACTCAAGCCTGTCTGGAAATTTGTTGCATTGGTCCAAACACAAAATATCGCTGTCATTCTTGATAAGCTTGAATTTCATGTATTTCACTTAATAGGGCAAAATGACCCATTGTGTTTGATAAACTGCAGTGCATTTAGTTAGTATTCCCCACCCCCCTCCAGGCCTCCACTTCTGGCCTCCTGGCATAAGAATAACAATATTCTTTGAGGGAGCCCAACTCTGTCAGGCGGTGTTAACACAGTGATGGCTCTTGACGGGTTGAGTAATCAAGGTCAATGCCAGTAGAAACGGAGGCCTGCATTTGACTCACAAACAGCTGGGACCAGAGACCTGACTTCTTCAACACCCTCCTCACCCCCACCTCTAGCCCTTCCTCCTGGAGCTGCCATCCCCACCAGCCAAGCCCCCACCAGCTGCAGGAGCATGGGGGCCCTGGACCCGGACCAGGGGCCTGACTCCATGGCCGGCTTACCCAGCCCCTGATAGGACCCCTACCCTGCAGAGCCCAGGTCTCCACCCCTTCCTGGTTAGCCCAGCCTCCGTAGCCACTCTCCTGTCCCCCTATATTCCCTGGGCTCAAGCCCCTGGATGTGAGCCTTCAAGGAGCTCCTGGGCCAATAGGTGAGGTGAGCAAGTCTACCTCCAGGTGAGCAAGGTGGGCAGAGCTCTGTGAGGCCTGGAGAGAAGACTGAGAGTTCAGGAGAGGGAACCAGGCTTCCCAAATGCCAGTGCAAGCAAGAGAGCCGCCCAGAGGAGGTGGCATTGCTTCTATGCCTCAATCTGGATTAGGACCTGTAGGATTTGGAGCTATAGAGGCCAGAAGTAAAGGGCCTCCAGGAAGGGATGTGTTGTGAGCAAACCTTCAGAAGCCAGAGGACTCAGTGGGAATGAGAAGCAGAGTTGCATTAGGTTGGGGTGAGGAAGTCTGCAAAGCCTCAAAGGGGTCCTGCCAGGCCACCCGCATGCACACTTGATCCTGGGAGTGGACCCTGGATCCATCTGCATGGATGGGAAGGGGGGTGGCTATGGAGAGAACCAGGACAAAGCCCTGAAAAATTCCCCCAGGGAGGAAACAAGCCTGTAAGTACATTAGTGCTGGTGAGTAGATGGGGCTGGGGGCGTGGTAGTAGTGAACTGGAGCATCATGTGCAAGCAGAAGCTTCAGGCCTTAGAGCAGTGGTTCTCAACCTTGGCTGCACATTAGAATCACCTGGGCATCTTTTTAAAATCCTGATTTCTGGGCCTCATCCTCCAGAAATTCTGTTTCTTTGTTACTAATGTGGTGGCCCCACCCCATAACAAAGAAAAAGAATTTCCGGAGAGTAAGGCCCAGAA